TATATTGGATCCGCCATTTTGAGTTTTGAATTTTTTATTTCAGATTCCATTTCAGTGAATATCTAAGAACATTTGTATAAAATATTCTGTTGACGTTAATACATTGACTAGTGTGCTCCATTCCACTATGTGTTACGTTGCAAACATTAAAAAGTTAATGTTCTGTACTACAAAAATTGTAAAACAAAAAGCAAAAATTCTTTTTAAAGCTAAAAATTAGTACTGTTCGATGTCATTGATCAAAACATTTGAATAAATTTCGATTCCGCACATTAAAATCATAAATTTTTGATCAAAATGGCCATTTCTGGCCATCTAATATTTCGATAACTTGACGTGATAAGTAAATTCTGCCATCAGATTCGGATTCAGCGTACAAAATTACATAGGAAACCACTTCTTGTTCATAATTATCTAAAACATCGTAGGCCTGTGTAATATCCCAGATAGCAAAATGTTTGCAGTCTTCTAACAGATTGTCAGCAAGTTCGAGCAGAAAATGACGGTAGTCTGCCATCAACATGCATCCGCATTACGCTTGTGTTCTGTTAACATCGCCTGTCGATATATAATGTGAAGGCAGATTGTTGGCAGAAACTGAGCAGATCCTGCTTATCTAACGCTTGCAGATTCTGTTACATTTTTTCTAGCAGTCTGTCAATAGTATTATGTACATCTAATTCTGTTGTTATTTTGTTGGCATAATGTGTAGCAGACATTTAAAAAATTTGTTTTCTATAGACTTGGCTATCTGGAATAATGTGAAAACATTAAAAATAATTTACAGGATAATTTTCGCACTATTTATTTAAAAAAAAATCAAATTTGCAAAAATGTAAAAAAAAATTGCTTATATAAAATTATATTTAAAATTATACATAATTGTGTATGAGCAATTTTTTTACATTTCTCCAAACTTGATTTTTTTCTAAACCTAATAATGCAATTATTCCTTTTATTATTTTTGATATTCGTAATATTATTATTTTTATTACACTAAAAAGTAATTTTATAAAAGAAAAGGTGTACAATTATGTATATTTATATGAATATTTATACGTGTTTATGTATGTTTATACATTCTTCTTGAGATTTTCACGTTTCTATATAAATTATGTGTTTCTTCCATCCATTCCAAGAATGGATCTGAACACGCAGAAACTCGCGAAACACATAATCTTTATGTTTATACACATTTATGTATTATATAAAAAATTTTTTACCAAATAAGAGTTTGTGCTCCTCGCTGTTTAAATTTTTTTTGTTTGTTATAACAATTAAAAGTGAACATTTGTCATAGCATTACAAAAAACTAATAAAATTCTAAATATTTGTGCAAAATTTTATTTGGATTCATTTACATATTTAAAAATTATTTACCTAAAACTGCAGTAAAATATACTTTGCAGACAACACAAAGACTGAAATCGGGATATAAGACATTTTTTGAGACGGTCTTACCGTTTAAAAATATCTTAAGACTTCTTTTTTAAACGTTTTATGTCCCAATTTTTAACTTTGTGTTATCTGAATTTATGATTATTTTGTTGCATATGCAATATAAAAGCTGTTATTTATTTCGTGCATGATGATATGTGCCTGTCGGTCAAGTTTGGAACTTAGATTAAAACAATTTATTAAACGCGTAATGGAAATTAAATCAAAATACTTTGTTTTATGTATGATAAAGATAATATAATCAAAAAATCGTAAGTAACTACTATAATTCTGTGT